GGGGGGGGGGGGGGGGGGGGGGGGTAGTCAGAAATATTCATTAATCGAGCAATTTGTACTTAAGAGTCGGGCAATCTTCCTGTGTGATGACTAATCAATTTGGTCTTTCCAACAAACAAATGTTATTAATAGTAAAATGCGAAATATTTCAAAATATTCAAACTAGAATATATGCTTGCATAAAGGTGACAAAAATAATTAAAATAAACATGCTTTTCCATTCGCGCCACTGGCTACGTACCATAACTGATTGGCGAGAGCACTAACTAGCGCTAAACAGACACTCACGACGAATCGCGAAGAGACTTTATCATTTTAAAGAAAATCGTATACTGTTGCTGTTAATTGAAACAACGTAGTTTACCATGTAGTTTATATGAAAGACTGCTAGCGTATGTCAGCGTATGAAAAATATCACTCATACGCTGGTATACGCTGACATACGTTTCAAGCATGCTCGCTTACGATGGTATACGCTGGCATAGAAAAAAAATTTAAGCATTCCTTAGAAATTTTGTGCGTATTCGGACGTATAGTTTATACCATAAGCTTGCTCTAGGCGCACGCTGAGGTACAGTACGCCAGATGTACGGTACTCATACACTGGCATTTCAATGGATGTACTCCAGTCTTCTATAAAGCAAATTCCATCTTGGCAACGATTCCAACTACGTCATTGATGTTCTGCAGAAAGATCTTTAAGTGGGTAACGAAGGGTGAGGACATACATTCGTTCCACAATGGGTCAAGAATTTCTCTTCTCTGTATGGAACGAGCGTATACTAATAGAACACGGCTCGAGAATGATATGGACAGAATCATTGATGTATATGGAGTCGAACACTATAATAGTAATAATTCTTGATAGTTAATAGTAGTGTTACGAAAGTATCTAAATAGTATAAAAATAGTTCAGTTTGCACCCCAGGTAATTATATAGATATTAGTTACGTCAAATGGAGAGATAATGAGCATTTTTGCTGGATCACAGATACTGAAGTAGATATTATTTCGGACTTGTGTAAAAGTGTCAATTATCTGTCCATTAGGTAAGATAAATGATTTGTCAAACTGCCAAAGTTGGACGATAGCCTTGCATAGTGGGCTGTTGTGTTCACATATTTCAAAGTCCAAGGCCGGTTCTTCTTTGACATGAAAATGTGTGCATGCATGCTTAGGGCGTTTCTGTCAATCATTCTTCTGTATCGCGGTCGAGTAATAATAACATTACGTCATCAAAATCTTGGTTCAATAAAATTGTAAGTAAATTTAGTTTAGTAGGTAATATAAAGTCTCTACCAAAAGTCAGTCTACTAAACGATGTTGAGCACATTATACAGTTTTCAAACTAACATCAACACGAAATACGAGTAATAATTACATACTTTCTTTATTTTGGGGACAATTATATTAAAATAGATATTATAATGTTTAGTGAAGTTCAATATTGCGAACTGTGCAATAGCCATAACATTACATAATATTGCACTTGCAGTAACGATATATAAAATATTAGATTATAAATTTAAAGTTTGAATAGCTTGCCAATGGCGTGATTTGTAACAGTTGCACAGTGTGGGTACGCCTTGCTAGTCTTTCCTGTGACCGCGACGATAATCCGCATTTAATGCTGAAGTCAGACGGGTCTTGACTGCTCGCGTCCGTTTTCTAAAGAGAAATATAATGGCATGTATTTTGCAATAGTAAGGCGGATATGTGTAAAATTATTGATCAGTGGTTCCCGTTGAGGTTAAAAGCATCAAACTTTTACAATTGATGTAGTTTTATTTGCTTAATAAATATTTGAAGTGGGGCCATCGCTATTTTGCTGCTAACTCCTGAAAACGGGTGATTAGTGATTTTCTTCTATTGAATTCTATTATAGCCAAAACATGTGAAATTTTGTATTCAATTACAACAAATATGACTTGCATCATCAGAAAGCTTATAAAAAACTGCATATAAGACGTTTAGACAGTTTTTTGATTTCTGAAATAGTTTTCGAATTATAAACTGTTAAAAACGCATTTTCAAACATCGAATAATGAATTAGGGACTTTTAGCGAGATAATGTGCCTAATTTACAGCAATAACCATTTGAAGAATAAAAAAACTGTTTAAAAGTCTTTTATGTAGTTTTTTACAAGCTTTCTGATGATGCAAATTATATTTGTCGCGATTGAATTCAAAATTTCACATTTTTTGTTGTAGTAGAATTTAATAGCAAATAATGCTAATAGCATCTTAACTCTCTAAAAAAACAGTTTCACGATGGCCCCACTTTTGCATGTTGTTCTACTCATAAAAAGAGCCCCCTAAGCCACCAGTTTGGAACGTTTATACGGTTGTCATAGCAACAAACTAGTCACCAGATCTCTCCATTCTTACTTTAGTAATGCCTGCCGTAGACATTTTGAAACGAAAATTTTTATTTAATTCAGTAGTTTATATTTACCACAGTACCCGTAAAAACGATAATAATAAATAAAAATCACAAAAATTGTTTTCTTTTTTCTTGAAAGCGAAGAATCGGACAAATAGGAGAGAGAGACCTGGTAACTAGTCTGTTGCTATGACAACCTCATAAACATTTCAAATTGTTTGCCTAGTAATAATTTAATAATTTAATACTTATAGCGCGCAAATTTACATGCACCAGGTGCATTTACTAACTATGCCAAATTTCGTTGAATCACTTCGGAGATATTAGACTTTCTTCTTTTTCTTGCCATCCTAAGCACAACTAGTGACGTCATAACACAAACATACAAAATGCCTGATAATTTGAGAATGAGAGATGAGCTGTAAATAAATTGTCAAGTCCATTCTTCATTATTTTCAAGGTACTTTGAAGTGCTGCATAAAAATTGAGGACAAAATTTTCATGTCATGTGCATTTTAAACATAAACGAGTAATTTAGTATATGTGGGAAAGATAAAGAAAGACATTTAATTACCTGAGCAAGGACTGATGGAATATTCAAAAGCTGCTGTAGAGTGTCCAAGAGTGGAATATAGGCAAATTCATCGTTCACCAGTACTTCCTGATAGCTTCCCCCAACCCTTCGTTTCTTTGATGTGTGACCAAATAAAACTCGTTTTGGTTCCTTAATTAAAAAAATATATGTATCAAGTAATTTAACAGTAAATATTTGTGTTTATTCACATAACTTCTCTTAAAATTCTGTCGAAAAGTTTTTGTTGTTGTTCTATGTGAATATGATGTAATTTTGTACAGTGTTAAATTATTTGGAGGAAGTATAAAAGAGTATCCCTTGGTGTAACGCTAGCTGTACCTGAATTCATAGACGGATTTTCATATTTTTTTACTGCGTGGTGCCAGAAAGTTTAGGGGAGTGAGCCGTGAGCAGGTGACTAAAGCAACACGAAGTGTCACCAAACCCCAGTAAGGTCTATATTCTAGGGGTGGAGCACTAGAGAGCAGAAAACAAAGTATCCCTGGAAAATTTGAAAAAAATCATGATTTCTAGCTTCAAAAAAAAATTTTTGAAGTTGTCATATCAATGCTTTGGCATGTCCGATTGTCTCTTGAGACTTGAAAGAGAGTTAAAGTTAAATGAACCTGTAAAAGTGTAAACCCAATAGACAATACACAATATGCTTTTACTTTTATAAAGTCATTGACATTGTGTCGTTTGAATCCGAGTACAATTTACCATGCAACTCAGATGTAAATAATATTTGAGGCGTAAAGATTAAATCTTGGCAAGTCTATTTCCTAAAAGAATTAAAAGCTAAAAATAATGTTCGTAAAAATTCCAAACGTTCTTTGCAAGCAAGTTATTTGCATGGCAAGGCACTGCAAACTCTATTCAGGGAAGATAATAGAGTTTCAAAATTTACAATTGCTCCAATAAACCAGTGAATGCAAGCGAGGAGCGATTAGTTTCAGAGTGTTGCACTGTCTTTTTCTGTTCGAGTGTACTCCTACGTTTATTTTGTATCATCAACACTCTACACGTTGGAGTGGACTATTTAATTATTTTTTTATTATGCCGAATATTGGGGGGGGGTTGAAAATTTTTTGGCGCGGTGGACATTTTGTTTGGGGGGGGTTATAGCTATATTGGGGGGTAGCACCCCCTGCACCCACCCACCCCCAAAAAAAATCCGTCTATGACTGAATTCTCACAGTGTCCAGAACCAAATACATGCCTATTTCTAAACCTTATGGTGTAGTAGTAAATTAGTAACGAACAATGACTTATTGAATATTTTGATGAGACTAAGTGTTCATGATATTCTCACTTTATTCTTAACATATCTTTTGGCTATTGTTTCATTGTACTCACCACCAATGAAAAATTTGTTTTCTGATATGCTGTTTGACGACTTTTAGTTTTAACATGCGCAAATGGGTTGGATAAAGGCTGGGTCTGGTCAAATACATCGGCCAATCCGTCGACATCCATCAGCTCTTGACCGGACTCTCGAAGCTTTTTCTCCACTTCGTTCCGTATTGTTTGCACCGTATTTTGAACAATAGCTGTTGTGCCTTCTACTATGCTGTCGACGGATGTTTGAGTGAGATAGTGCACTTCTTTCAGTTTCATCAAGTACAATGCATTCAAACGCTTAATTTCATCACCATTTTGCGCTATTTCATTATTATCAACCCCTCTCTCTGGTACTTCCGGTTCCACAATGTCAATGGCCCTCATCGGTTGTCTGATGTTCGTATCGATGTCTTTGTGAGTGCGCCGAAGATGACTTTTGTAGCTGAAAATTCGAGAAAAGGTGGATTGACATCCAGACACGTCACAAACAATATGTAAACTTGGATCATTCCTGTGAACTTTAACCAAATGTCCCACCATCTCTGATATACTTGGAGCAAACAAATTTACACATATTTGACATCAGACTCGATTCATTTTGCCCAATCACCAATACTGAATACCGTAAGTATGAAAAATGATTGTCTACAATGTTCTGTTACGACTATATTCTTATATCATTGATAACTGCACATAAAATCGAAATAAAGCCATTAAAAACGAGTTTAGTTAAAAATACTTTGTGAAAGAATTCATGTAAGTAAATTTGCGGGAACGTCTCGCCAACAATTCGCGAAGGGACTGGAGCTAGGACCTTTTGCGGCCGATGAATCATGGGATATCGCGCCAAAATTACTGGTCTTTTCTTTTTACGAACCTCGCTTCTCTACGCTTCTGCCTTTTTGTGCTACAAAATGTCTTTTTTTAACTTAAACGAAAGTTCAACTGAGGATGAAGTTATCAATTTTTTGGAAAAGAATGACTTTCCATTTTTGATAAACGAGTTTGCAGGTAAAATGAAGTGTTTTCGCATATTTTTTTCGCTTTTGTAAACGAAGGAATTAAAACGAACATTTTAAATTCCTCCCTTAATACTGTTGTAAAAGTACTTATATTTCTATGTTTTTTTTACGTTCAAGAAAATCAAATTGACGGAAGTGACTTTTTTGAGTTGGAGCTTCGTGATATTAATGGATTTATTCCCGTATTTAAGCAAAGGAAACGGTTTTTAAAGCTCTGGTCGTCCGTCACGGGAAAAGTAGGTTTCCAAAATTGTTTGAATTTGTATTTCACATTTCTTTAAGACTCGTTTTTTCACAATATTTTTTGAAATGCGTTATTAAAGGTTAAAAGTGTGTTGCTTATAGTAATTTGGTGTATTTTAATAATTTTCAAGAAGTTTTATTTCAATAAAATATGTTTGCTCGTTTCGCATTTTACGGCATTGTTTATCGAGGCAGGATGGGGCTTTTCGAAAACGGTTATTTTAAGGTGGCTCCCTACAATTCTGACATTTTTTCATAAAAGATTAAGGATTAAGATAAGAAAATTAGGCCAATTAATAACAGCTGAAAGAGTAAATGTTCTGATAAAATATTTTCACTATTATATAAAAATGATTGCTTGGCGTCGATATATTTATATTGTATTGAAAATGGCATATAAATTGATTATATAAATGACAAAATTATAATATTTCAATCAGCATATAACCGTATTTTGTAAAGTAGTTAACTTACGAAAACTTTATTTTTAGAAATTTGATATTAATGGAGTGAAAATACCTGCTGTTGCAGAGTCTTGTAGTTTGACGCAAAAAAATCTAGTATGTATATTTTAAAAAGAACATAACTTTAGTTTGAGCGATGTGATTTAGCATCTCATATCGATTTATGCCACGAGAAACCACATATGGACGTTTCTCTGTTGCCCCCCCCCCCCCCCCCCCCTTGGAAACGTCACATAATTTTCGGTATTTTATTGTGTAAGTATTTACTTACACAATACTTATAATTCCACATTTCCATACTTTTTTCTTAATATTTACCGTTCAGTATTATTCCAAAAAGTCTAAGTTTCTTTAATAGACTATTTATTTTTTCCACAATGTTTCACAGAGAAACGTCACAGCAGACAATCCCCCCCCCCCCACCACTCCCAACGTCCATATTTCTCGTGGCATAAATCAAGATATCTATGGCATAAATCGATATATGAATTTATTAAGGGAGGTATGAGTCATACCTCCCTTAATAATCCAGTTCAGTTAATTAACGAAGATAAATATGATAGAAAAAAGTTGTGGGTTTCATTTCTTGAATATGTCAGTCATGGACGCAATTCTTTTGCGAATTCTCTCCAGAAGATGCTAAAATACATACATTATTATATAGATTGTTCCAAATATAAGGGTTATACAGTTAAAGTTAATATACTAAACCCGTATGGAATCTAAAGCCAAGATTTTACGAATT